TAAGGAAGAGGGGCAATGCCCAAAATAAAGATATGTACACACTCAATCGCACAAGATTTACAAAAATATATATTTTTTCTTTAAAATAAATTTTCAAGCAATACAGTAATCATAATTTCACATACCTCAATAATTTCCTTATTCACATATGATTTCATAGACATCATAGATATCCTAGCATAAGATTTATGTAAACAAATAATGTTGTTTATTGGTTTCATAACACTTGTACTTACACTTTCTAACAATCACTTGTACTTGCTACTAAATTACTTATCACTACATATGTTAGTATTGCTTTCACTTTACATTGTTCACTTATCACTTTTCAGTTGAATTTTCATTCTCAGTTACATTTTTATTAAGGTTTATAATTTCTATTTTTTCGTCTTTTAAGAGTTTTATCGCGCGATGCCCTTTTCACCAACATCAACAATGACACTAAGGATCCCCATTACCACGTGGATACATCACATATTTTTTACTTTTCACTTTTCACTTTTCACTTTCCCAATGCATGAACACGGAATGATTATGTATCACTAATCACTTTCCACATGCACCCGAACACGGAAGGGTTATGTATAGGACTTCTCAGCCGTATCTAGCGAAGACCATATTCACGGGTAGGCTTCACCATACTTTCCTTGCCAAAATAGTTATGCACACCCTTCCCTGTTGATACTGGTTAAATGGACTTTTCATCTTTTAAATATTTTTATTTTATTCTTTTACTAATCAAATCCATCACTAGATGACCTACTCATGCATGCATTGACATGTACATCATATATATCATACATAAACATACTTATGCAATAAGCATAATATAGACATCTTATAAGCACGGTCATCAACTTAAATAAATATATATATATGCAACATATACAACATAAGCGTACTTGCATATTCATACAAAGCATATGCGTATTCCATAAGCATGCACATACAAGTTGTTCACTCATACATACATACGTTATACAATATACGATTATACATATATATATGTTTTGCATACCTATACCTCGGTAACTGGCATACACAAAATTTGCATACACACACTAGTAGTAATATGCATATATAAATATAAATCATACAACATCATATAGATCTTCAATCATATGCAATTACACACTCACACACGATGAGCTCGCGAAAATCACATTAAAAAACTTAAATAGTTTGTAAGGTCTGTAAACAATTTATTTTAATGAAACAAAGTTTTATAAAAATATGAAGGCTTTTAAATGAGACTAACCCAATCCCTTATCAATAGTTGAATCGGAAAGTATTAGAATTTTTATTGGCCCAGTCTACACTCTCCTCTAAATCTAGCATTATTTAGATAATTATCTCGTTTACAAATAGAAAATACATTGGTTAATGACATACAATTGTAGAAATAATTAAAATACAAAAGTGGGTCGAGTTTTACCGTAGCACGATCTCGGTCACCAGAATCGCCACAAGCCACCATACCAGTGTCTTTGGTTCACCACGCGCCGCCACTGGAGTGTCATATGTTGCCACTTGCTCGGCTACCGAAACCAGTACACGCCACTAGAACCTCCCACGCACCACCATGCTTCGGCTGAAAACCATCACAGAACGAGCCGCGCATGCAAATCCAATTTAGATATGACAGAATCGCACCAGAGAAAGGTGCAGATGCATAAAACTGTGCCTAGCCACCATTGCAGTTCTCTTTCTTCTCCGAGCACACCGTCACGTGTTCTCCCTCTTTGACCTTCTGGTTTTGGGCCTCTCTGCTGTACTGCATGCACCAGACTCGTCTTACCTCCTATCAGGTATGTTCCCTTCCATTCTTTATGCAGCTTCAACATCTTCTGGTCAATGTAATTTAAAAAAAAGAATAGCCTATTCTTCTGTATCTCATATGGGTTTCACAATTATAGGAATTGGTTCTATAACCGACCCAGGACTCAATGGAGCCATTTTACAAATAGTCTCTCATGGATTTATTGGTGCTGCACTTTTTTTCTTGGCAGGAACGAGTTATGATAGAATACGTCTTGTTTATCTCGACGAAATGGGCGGAATGGCTATCTCAATGCCAAAAATATTCACAATGTTCAGTATCTTATCGATGGCTTCCCTTGCATTACCGGGCATGAGTGGGTTTGTTGCAAAATTAATAGTTTTTTTTGGAATAATTACCAGTCAAAAATATTTTTTAATGGCAAAAATACTAATTACTTTTGTAATGGCAATTGGAATGATATTAACTCCTATTTATTCATTATCTATGTCACGCCAAATGTTCTATGGGTACAAGCTAATTAATGCCCAAAACTTTTCTTTTTTTGATTCTGGGTCGTGAGAGTTATTTGTTTCGATCTCTATTTTTTTACCCGTAATAGGTATTGGTATTTATCCGGATTTCCTTCTCTCACTATCAAGTGACAAGGTTGAAGCTATTCTATCTAATTATTTTAATAGATAGTTTTCTTTTCATGAATAAAAAAACGAAATTGAATTGTAACCAGACATGTTTGGCGTGTGTGAGAACCTTTTGAATCAAGGAGTGTAGTGATTCAAAAGGTTCTTGACGACTCTCTCTTTCTTAGAGTTATTTCCTCTATCGTCGCGACCTTCTTTCTCTCTCTATGCACGGATCTCTCTCTCTCTCCTCACGCATGGGATCTCCCTCCCATAGAACAAGTCTCTCCCTTTTTATCGGCGGAGAAGGGAAGTCATACACACCTCTTCTTCCTTCTTATCCAGCGTGCAAGTGTATTCTTCTTCTCCTCCTTATTCAGCTTCCAGAAGTGTGTTGCCATTTCTTTTTTTTCCTTTTAATCAAAACAACGTTGTTTTGGGAATTTTCTAAAATGACATCGTTTTGTCCTTTTCTTTTTCTAATGCCTAGTTTTGGGACTGGGTTCCGTTTTCTAGTCTGGTGTATCACAAATCATGCTTGTGAAAGCATCCTCGCTTTCACAATTTAAGGCTATTTTGATAATTACATTGAAAGTTCAAGTGACATAATTAAGGCTTTGTTTTATATTTTAGAGTCCACATTAGTTGTTTTGAACACGAGTTTTATAACTCACCATTTAATAAGTGTACTATTACTTAGAAATAACTTACTTATAATATTTGTTTGTATAATCACAAATTTAGCAACTAGTATGTTGTTAAGGTTGCAGTGATAAAATTGAGTTAAGTTTCAATAAGTTTATTACATTTCTAGATAAAAAGAACATATAGTGGCAGTTATGTTTTTCAATTAGGATAGGTACAATGAGTTAAAAACTCAACCTAGTATTTTCGCCTACTAAAAAAAACTATATTCATTTTGGTCTAATTGGAAATTTAATTTGAGTTTATGGTCTGTTTTGGTTTAAATTGAGCTCCACAATTATTTGTTTTAGATTAGTTTAAATTGAGTCCTTTAGATTATTGGGCCCGTTAATTATGTCCGATCTAAGAGGTTAATTTTAGTCAGAGTCCAAGAAACAGTTTAATTAGAACTGGACTTTACACTCGCTCCTAGGTAATTAATTTACACTTGGTTAATTAGTCTAAGAAATTTAATTCATTTAATTACAATTTGGCCCTTCTGATGGATTAATTAGAACTGTTGCTCTAACCAAAGAATTATCTCACACATTTCGGCTAGAATGTTTTCGACTGGGCCATTAGAATTAGGGGCAGTTATGCGATGGATGCGGGTAAAATATTTAAGCCTATGATGGTTGTGAGATAAATATGAATTAAATGATATATTAGTGCGGCACTTGCCCTTCTATACATATGATTACAATTTTAAATTTTATGTTTAATTTTTAAATTAATTTTATTAGAAATTAAATTAAGTAAATTTTGAACAATAAATATTTAATATTTTATTTTTAGTGTTATTTTATATTTATCATTGAATATATTATATTTAAGTATTATTTTAAATTATATTTTATTTTGATAACTACTTAATATTTTTTATTAAACTTTAATTGAAAATCTTATAATATTTAGGATTAAAAAATATAGATAACTACTGAAAATTGTTATCTATATTTTGAACTAAGGAGAGCAGTTTTGTGAAGAGAAAATTAAGAGGAAAACAGTGCAGGGAAATAAACAATCTGAAGAAACATTAAATTGTTTATGCCAAACTCTACTTAAATTTGTTTTATAAAAGTTGTACTCTACACCCGTATGTAATTTTCTTTAAAGATTATTTTTATTATTTTATAATTATTACATATGTCCCCTATAAATTAATGAACGAATAAATGTGTTTGCTTGGTCAACCATAATTATTTGCATGGCGGATGGAAAGGCGAGTTAGCGCCGTGAGTTTCTTTCTATTTCCAGCACTTCGGTGACATTAACTAGTACTTTACCAGAAAGAAAAAGGCTCATCGGTTTCCAGAATTAATTTGTTTCATATTAAGCCTGCAGCCATGCCAGCTTTTGCCGTGTGTTATGTGCAGGTCACAGAGACGTAGCTTTTGCCAAGTACACCACGCAGAATACAGGATTCCATTTTGGGTTGAGCAGTTTCCTTTCCTATTATATGAACAGCAATTTCGTTTCCTAAATTGGCATGCATGGTCACTGAGAACTTCAACTGAAACTTCTAATATCGCTATAACTATCAAATTAATTTATTAATATTTCTAAGATATAAATAAATAACAATCCCAATGTTTAAAAAAAAAAGGAAAGGCTCTCGTTCTGCTTACCCTGAAGCCTAACCAGAGCCTATCATCGCCAAACTAGTCAATGGCCAACCTAACCTTTCAAACTACTAGAAACACTCCACTGGTCAGAATTAGCGACGGAGGAAACACCATTTCCGCACTTAGCCACCGTTCTCACGCTTTCAATCAACGCCTCCGTTTGCGACTCCTGAGCCAGTATCTCCGCCAGCTGCTCCGGGCTGATCACCAGCTTCACCTTCCAGACCCCGCTATCATTGTACCTCGGCAACACCTCAGCCTCTACACGCTTCAACACCCTGTTGTTATCCAAGGACACTCGGTACGGCGCCATGGTGTTAATATTTTCGCCAGCGTTGAGAGGCAGGAGGTAGTAGAGGTGGCCGGCACGGAGCTCTTCGTTGTGAAGAAGAGGCTGAGAGAAGATATCTCGCGTGCGGTAGATGGCGTGGCCAGGAAACTCATTGGTTATGCACTCAGCGGTTATGGGTGCACAGAGCTCCATGATACCTCCACTGCATGTCACCACCTTTACCATATTCTCTTCTAATTCTCCTCCAAATGCTTTTAACACACAGTTTCCCATTTTGTTGACGAACAATATTCAACCGATTGTTAATTTGTAGAGAAGAGAGATTTTGTGTGATATAATAAGACGCAAAGGTAGAATGAATTTTGAAATGGAAAAGAATAAGTTGATGGAGTCGGTAGGAGGTTTCTTGAGGGTTTCTCGATATGCTTAGCCGACACAAGAATTCTTGTCTTCTCCTCACCAACAAAATGATCTGATCTTTTGGGTGGACCCCCATTTAAGCTTGAGTACGATTGATATTTGCCACCTGATTTTGGCACCATGTATATATTTTAAAGTAGAACAGTCCGCACTGGATCTCAGCCAGAAATCCAAGAAAGGTCGAGTCGGCAGTGGTCAACGTTTGCTTTTGTCGATACTTTTATTGTGTGTTTGACCGGTGATTGATGATTCTGAATCATGGGTTGATGATGATCAGATAGTGGTGTTGATGGGTGTGTGGATGGATGGAAGGTCACATCAATCTTTTATTTGGCTTTTTGATCGAAAGCGGAGTCCCGTTATTGGTTCCGACATGAAAAGAAGAGAGAAACGGACCATTCGTTGGTCCCACTTGCTTTCGTCGGTGGTAAAGTTGAATTGAATTAAGCAACGGCATCGTTCCATGATCAAATTATTGTACGAAGCAACGGCATCGTTTCGCAATGACAATTATTGTGATGTGGAATTACGGAAAGATAGACCGTCATGTGGCACTTAAAAATTCGGAAATTTTGAAATGCAAAATATGTCCAAGAAATTTGTTTTCATACGATGGTTTGAATTTAGAAAAATAAACAATAAAATACAACGAAATTTATTTATTATCAAATTTTTAGCTAAAACTGCATGATAAAAAAGAAAAACTACCCTTTACCTTTTATGTTGAAATGAAAATTTTGCTTTTCTTGTACACTAATGTTTTTTATTTATTATTATTTTTTACCAATGATTTCATCATTTAGAATCCTACAAACACAAGATTACAGAGAAAAGAAAAGAGATTTTAATGAAAAATTAATCAGCATAGCAAATAAATAACTAAGATCTAGGAATCAAATTAGCTTTCAGATATCAAATAATTAATATGTAAAAGATATATAAAAATGAAATATAATTCGACTAAAAAAATTGTTAATGATTTGAACTCTTGTTTAGATCACAATAATCACATGTATTTTATATGTGAGATTAGATTATCTAATATCTCATATAAAAGAAATTGTACTCAAAATTTTAACTATCCTTTTTATTTCACTAAACAACTATATAATTAAATTTGTAATACAATTATGATTATGGTTAAAGTTATATTGCAAATGTCATCACAATCTCTCAATTATGCAATCAATTACATTATAATGAATATGGGATTAATTACCTTAATATTACATTACAAGATTATTACATCTAACCAAACATGTTGCAGTAACTTGAGACTTGTAATTCATTTTGGTCCAAGAAAAAAATTATTTGTAGCAAATTATTTACCAAGTAGCCCTTGAGTCTCCAAAACCACCCAAAAAAAGAGGACAACACTTCATATCAAGAGTAACTCATGATGGCAAGTAAAAATTAGTCATGATTATTACTTGCAAGTTACAAAAAGTAAAAATTCTTAAAATTGACTACAAATACAAGTTATATGAACAAACCATTTCACACTAATTGGTTTAGAAAGAAACTTTTTGGTTTGTTTAATATTTAAAGTTATATTAGTGATGTGAGAGATACTGTTATTAGACATAATCAAGAAGACTTGTTCGTTTGTTTATTTGCTTGCTCAAACTTAATAGTTCGATCTATATTTTTTAAGTGTATGAACATGTAATTTAGTCGAACTTTCAGAGGTTTCTGATTTTCTAGATGGCTAAGTTACAATCTAAATACAAGTAAATTGATTTGATTTTTATTTAAAATATAGAGATTAAGCTAACCAACAAGCAAAGTGTTCTATATTTATTGTGATGAATTCCAATTATAAACCTTGATTGTTAGAAAATTAAGTCACATACATTTTATTTAGTTGTGTAGTGTTCCTAATTTCTATGTCTCTTAACTACCGTACCTTACGCTTACTTTAATTGTTAATGTACACTTTCAACCCTTATTCCAATTGATTTTTTTTATACGTTTAAATTAAACAACATTGGGAATATTATGATGAGTAAGGAGAATAAGAAATGAGTTTCATTGGCCACAACGATCAAGTAATAGGTTGGATATTTTTTTTTAAAAAAAGAAGCCAAAAGAAATATAAGTGCTTATGTTACAGATTTTATTTAGATTTATAATAATTCTGAAGTAAACTTAAAACTATAAAGAGATGGACTACTTATGTAATGTCAAAGGAAAAAATTAAAGAGCATAAATTTAACATTGAAGCTTTACATCCAATCAAGCCCCTTCAAAAGCTCAAAGTTTGTTTCTCATTTTTTATCTTTGGAAATTACAATCCTCAAAATCTATTCTTAACATATTAGTAAAGAAAATAAAAAACATAAACTTCATACGTTTTCATGCTTAGAGTAAGTCAAGAATCTTTATGTGCTTAAAGTATTATTTATTACAAACTGTTGATAGGTGTCCCCTTATGTATTGTAAACAATAAAGAAATTGGTACTAAGAGTACTTTGCTGATCACAAAAAAAAAAAATTGAACATGATTTTTAATTACAAGTGTTAGTATACACATATTGATTTTTGGATGAAATGACAAATATTTAATTTCAACTAATATTATTTGAAGTGAGCTGTTGAAGAATATCTATAGTAAAGCTAAAGTAATTGAAGTATAACTTGAACATCTCTTGGACATAGGCAAAAAGGATTAAATGGAAGATGCATACCTGGAGGTTACATTATTAATTTCAACAATTAAGTGGATGACCCACTATTTTAATGTTTTATTTTCTCATTCACTTATAATGGTTGAAGCCGACTTAAAGAACACCTAAAATAATAGATAATGATTATAAAGGAAAAGGTACCTTTGTGGAGTAAGTAACTTTAAAATAAATTATAAAATTATTGTATTTTACGAATATTAAACTACAATAATATAAACGGTTATCAACACATTCGATTACCTTGAATGTGCTTTGGTCTCTCTTCTTATATATAAAAGGAGCACAGATTCTCCTCTCAATGCACTAACAGTTTATATATATATTATTACACTGACGGTTTATGTATATGTATATATTAATATATCATTACACTGATAGTTTATATATATATATATATATTATTATACTAATAGTTTATATACATGTACATATATTACAATAATAGTTTATATATATATATGTTAAATTATAGTTAATTTAATAAATGTAAATACATATGTATATTTTATACAAATTATTGTTTCATAGTTTTCTGACTTAAAATTTATTAATATAGCAAGTTACCAAAGTAACCCAAATGATGAGTCTTACGTTAGTTAAACTACATTAAAGAATTAAGGGAGACTTATAAAGGAGTAATATATATATTTTTATAATTATAAGACTGAGACGAACCCAAAGGAGAGTCATTTTCTACTAATTATGAATTGATAGTTTATTTTGTGTTATTTAAATGGATACCCTAAGGTAACATATAAATGACGCAAAATATTAAGTATTTTAAGTCCCTTTGAGTGAACATTAGATATGCTAACATTTTTCTTAAAGAAAAAACTATAGTGATATCAATAATTCATCGTTTATAAATTTAATATTATAAATACACTTGAGGTCTTACTATGATCATTGTTCTATTTTTACAGTTTTCACTTCACTATATTCTCTTGCATCTCGAATGACAATTTTTTATAGGTCAAATTTTGTGAAATGGTATGAAAGGGTCCAATTCTCATTTGGTTTTTTGGATCTTGACCTGGCTTTAATAATTGAAAAATCTCCTGAAGCTACCGATAATAGTATTTTGGAGCATAAGGAATAATTAAAAGCCTGGACAAGGTCAAACAAAGTTAGTATTATGTTTATGAGAATGACCATTGCCACTAACATCAAAACTTTCCTCCTTCAAACTGAGATAGTATCAGATTTTCTGAAATATGTGAAGGAGCATTTCAAATGTGCCGATAAGTCTCTTACAAGTACATTGATGGCTGAATTGATAACCATGAAATATGATGGTCATAAAAGAAATTCAGCAACACATTTTAAACATGGTTGAAAAGGTTACAAAACTTAAGGCATTAGGCATGAACATGGATGAGTCATTTTTAGTTCAATTTGTTCTTAACTCACTTCCTTCCCAGTTTGCTTCATCCAAAATTCACTATAACACTAATAATGAATAGTGGAATATGAATGAACTTACTAGCAAGTATATTTAAGAAAAAATGAGATTAAAGCAAGATGGACATAATTTTGCCCTTGCCGTTACTCATGGAGCTATGAAGATACGGAAAATCCAAAAAACGTAAAGAACATTCTACTAAAGAAATAGAGTAGACTTGGGGAGAATAACTAGAGTCATCATGGAAAAGTTACTCTGAGTTGCTACTTTTGTGGTAAGAAGGGTCATGTGAAAAACGAATGTAATAAATGTAAGGCTTGGTTCGAAAATAGAGGTTTAAATCTTTCTTTTATATATTATGAATCAAATATTACTGAGGTTCCTTCTAATACCTGGTGGATTGATTTTGGACTCACAACTCATGTTACTAATTTAATGTAGGGCTTCTTTACAACCCAGAAACCGAAAGAAAGTGAAGAGTTCCTCTATATGGGAAATCATCTCAAAGTAGAAGTGGTAGTTGTAGGTACCTATCATTTGTTATTAGAGACTGGTCATCAGATGGATCTTTTGAACATTTTTTATGTTCCTTTGATTTCTAAGAATTTAATTTCATTATCAAAATTAGATGTTGCTAGATATTAAATTTATTTTGGTTGTGAAAAAGTAAGTTTAGTGTTTAATTCAGTGATAGTTGATTCTAGTATTTTATATGATGGTTTATATAAAATTTGCTTGAATCATCAATTTGCACAAGCTTTAGT